TCATTCAAGTGACAGAGATGCCATTATGTACCCATACTACCCAGATTTTTACCATCCTAATTTAAACCTTGAACCCGATGATATCGCTGGTATTCAGTCGCTTTATGGTAAGTAACCTATAACTAGAGGCTGAGGTTTGACCCCCGTCAAAGATAGCAATTTTGTGAAAATCACGAAAGCCAACTTTCTTCAATGCTAAGATTGTTGTTGCCACATTACAAAACCCTATGACCCTTGATTCAGGATTGCTGTTTTTCCTTAACATCTAGCAAAGTTTGACCTGTTCTTAATAATATTCCTTACGTTGTTACCTTTAAAGAATAGTCTTATGAGAAAAGTGATAAATCATGAGGCTTCTCTCAAACAATGAGACGTGTCTTTCCAAACCCTTTTTTTAATAAGCCTATCGCAAAGGTGGATCTCGTGATCAGCTTTCACTTAGCACAAAAACAATGCGTTTTGGGAAATATTCTAACAGGAATACAAAGAGCACACAAAAATAGCTAATGCGTTTATTTTCAGGCTTAGGGTGGATTTCCACTGTCGCGTTATTTTTATGTGCGTACGCACGTTAATTTTACGTGCGTAAATAAAATAGAGGCAATGTATTAAAAGCCCCACGTAAGCGTGGAAGTTGAGCAAGGATCAACTTTTACGTTTACACGCGACCTTCCATACATTGCCTCTATTTTATTTACGCGCATTAAATTTACATTCGCAAATAAAAAAGAGATCGAGCGTAAACACAAAAGTTGAACCTCGCTCAACTTCACGTTTAAGCGCAACGCGAGTAAAACTTACATGCATACACACGCACATAAAAATTACGAGTCAGTGGAAATCAACCCTTAGGCTCAAAAGAATTTATTACCATGGTCCCGGAATATTAGAAGGATTTGTATGGGATGAGCAGCTCTCGCCACATTAGGGTTGTTGTTGTTTTCTGTACAAATCCTTGAAATTTTGAAGGTTTTAAAAATTCGTGAAATCTTTTTCTTAGTTTTTACATGCCCTATCTCTATACAAAGCCTATAAATTTAGGAAATATCACAAAAATTAATTTTTGTTACTATAATTACTTTCACTGCTACGCGACCTTCGATAAAATGTAGCTGGAAAGAGATTTCCGTCAATCAATCAATACGCAGAGCGCCCACAAGAGAAACATTTGAAACCTTTTATTGAACGAAATATGTTTGCAAGTGATTGTTTGAGACGTAGTACGAATAAGGGTCAAGAAACTTTGAGAAAAAATGGGTCGCTAGGGCGATGGGAAACGTTTTCTTCATGGGCGTCGCCTTATTTTAGCCTCCATCTCTACTTTTTTTGATTCTCTTAATTGTATTTTATCAATGTTTTTTTAGGAAGAAAAATATGAAAACCGGGCTCCTGGAGACCGAGATAAGATACAATAAAAGAAAAAGAGAAACATCAAGTAAAATGGAGATTTTCGTGGTGTAATTGTATACAGAATGAAAACTGGAAAATAAACTTGGCATAAAGAAGAGGTCAATCTCTTTCTTACCTTTTTAAGCAAACCGCTCAAACATTCCTCACAAGAAAACGTCACGAGGACTTTTTATACTGAAGAATTTCTTCTGTTTTTTAAAAATGGAATTTTTGTTCCCATAATGAAATGGGGCAACTGTGAACAGAATTTTACCCAAGTAAACGTAGTTTAATAGCACGTTATCGAGGCTAGTGTAGAACATGAACGGTGGATCGGTCTGACTTGTTTTGTTAAAGACAGCGTAATAAAATACACCAGCTTTTTTTTACGACACGTTTAATTCTTCTAAACTAATAAATTCACTTCAGAAATGTACGATATTAAACTTGGATTTGCTCAAAGTCGCTCGTTGAGGTTCTTCAGCGTTATTCCCCGATTCATGCTCCCCGCGTTCGATCCTTGGGGTATCATGATCCACGCTTTCGTCCCAAAATGCAGAGAACAAGCGAGTCGACTTGCAGCACGTCTACAATAAAACACTACGTTTATGTTGCGGGTCAAAATGGTTTTAACCTGGTCATGATTTTTACTTATTAGGGTTTGGAAACATTAAAGAAAACTGTTATTCATAATCAAACTAGGTTACATGCATTTGAAACCATGTTGACCTGAATTTCATTTTGACCAACACCATTTACATTCTATGGTATACAAATATGCTCAAGAGTGATTAATAAATCTGGCCTTATGGTAAAGTATAAGTAAAACTTACAACAGTTTAATCAAACTAAACGAAACAGCAAGAAAATAACAACTAATTGTGTCAAAGACACAAAGGTTATACAATAATCGTACAGATTGCTCTAATAGAAGTAAGAAATAGCCTTGGGCCAAATTGAATACACCGCCTCTTAGTGTAGTAAACGTTGCAAATTGAAATCAACGAGCTTGTATCATTGTTTTAGCGAGCAAAAACTTTTATGTTCAACAATTTAATTCCCTTGGCTCGTAGTAAACTCAATACTTCAGGGATAAGTCATCTGCACCCATTTGCAAGGTATTAAACGGACCAAGACTATAAAAATTTAAAAGTTTTCCCTAAAGCTAGAAGTTAAAAACTTTAACTGATCCAGCAAAGCAGAAATAATTGTTCACCAAGTATTATCAATGTTTTTAAGCAATATTTTAGACCCTGCAATTATAGTTCTTATCAGTCTGTAACTACAATAACACAAGTAAAAAGAAGTTAAAGGCGGCAAAAAATGACGCCATAAAGATGACGCAGGATGCCGCATTCGTTGCTAAATGCCCGCCACGGCTTATATCCAACATATACGTAAAGTGCCAAATTGATTAAAAGTAACATTACTAAAAGCAAATATTGTTTTCGTTTTAACTTAAGGGGCTGACCTTTTGACTTTTGAGGGGGGGGGGCAGGGTGATTTCAGAAAAAAAAAATCCTGTAGACTGATTTCGAGGGGAAAAAACTGCAAGGAGTTACCTGGCGAAAAAAATCCTACACTGAAAAACATGGCGTATAAAGCTGGGGTAAAAGATCTTACACCATTGTAGGTCAGGAAAAAATTCTATCACCAGAGGTTTGGCAAAAAAAAATTATTACATAAGCTAAATCACACATACCCCCCTCAAAAGTCGAATGGTCGGCCCCTAAATTTAAGAGGATTCAGACAACGAACATGAGTAACTATGAAGAAAAAACTGCCTACCTTACTCTTTAACTTTAAGTGCTCTAGCTTTCTCTGTCAAATATGTGCAATTACGAATGATTAAGGACAATTTGATGTGGAAGTGTATCTTGTCAAACCGTCCATTGAAGTACAGGTAAAGTCCGGCGACTGAAACCCCGATGATATATTTAAGGGCTATAAAAAGCGAGAACGCATGATGTTAGAGGGTAGAATTGGACAAATTCAGTGTAACCGTATTGAATAGCGATGAATAGCAGCTGCTTTAACGTGCTGATTGAGGAGTTGTCTTTTAAGGCATTTTAAACTGACAGCCTCAATATCCGCTAAAATGTTTCGATGGCTATTGAAAAAAATTGATTGCCTGCCTGAAGTAGCCTATTTAATATTATTTTGACTAATACTTTACCTATTAGCCAATACATGAAGGTTTGACGCATTTGTTGAAGGAACGTTCTAGCAGGAACTAATTAACCAGTTCTTCTTCAACAAAGACGAGGCTTAGCTCTTCTTTTTAACCACTGCACTTTTTATTCTTTGAAAATTTCAATACTCACTGAAACAATTCTATATCCTCTACTCTATCTATCGTTCCCGTACCTTGATTTTATATTTAACAAACAAGCCATATGGGTGACCAGCAAGCTCATCCGCTTGACTCGGATTAACGTTTGCCTCAGGTCCTTTCTAATCGGTCAGGCAGAATCATTAGAATAAAATCCTTCTTTTTAAGATTTCGTTGCGAAGCCTAGGTCAGTTTAGTCAAAATAAAAGAAGGCGAGCAATGTAAAACTACAAAGTGGCAGGCTCCCACATAGAATTTGTAAGTTAATAGTTAGAAAACTAGTAATAACCAAAGGTTAATGAGAGCGGGCTACAACGATCGAAGATCAAAACGTTTTTTGCTCCATCGCTGTCCTTTGTGTAAGTTTCATTGGTGACAGATAGTCAAAACACGCGTGATCAGATTACGAGTGATAGAAGATTGATCCAGACACGCGTGATCAAACTGCGTTCTGTTTATTCCATTCATTTTTAGTGGAAGTCCAAATGAATGCTGGCTACATACATGTGACGCATGCGTAATAACAGCCTGGAGATTAGGATTGCGGGCTCCTCTTGTCGCCCGCAATAACTGTAATTTTGTAATTTACAACACAGTGAGTAACATAGTCAGTGCGGGGGCTGTGGATTCATCGACTTTAACGCCTTTCGAACTCGTCAGTTCAATTACTAATATAGCCTGCATAGCAAGCGTTTTCGTGTAGTTGCGAATCGGAAGAAAAGAACGACGGGGAACGGAATTTTCGGTTTTGGCCGCGCGAAAAATGGAACGAGAACCATATCCCCTCTCTGACTCGCCCCATTTTCGCGCGGTTTTTGACTCTCGTTTCACACTCTTTGCTCTAACACCGCACTGAAACGCCTGCTACCCAGGCTATTACTAATATATGTTTTGAAAGTTGAATTCTCTTGTGGTCAATAAAAAAAAAAAAAAACAAAGAAGAAGAAAAACGGGTTCAAAGACAGACAAATCAGTTATCTTTGGACTTTATATCACTGAAAGTCCCTACTGAAACAGCTGAAAGCTACGATTTAATTTTCTTATCATTTTTAAAACGATTATTTTTGTTTTCAGAAAATTGCAAAGACAATGTGTCCTGTGCTGTTACTTAAAATCTAGCTACACTAGTGCGAACCGTTATAGACTCAGTGATGCCTTGTTCACATACCAACTCTTATAGTTAAATACTTCGTAATGTGAATTTCATACTTTTGTCTAAAAGATCTTTACAGGCGAAAGATGGGATTCAAATAGCTTAAAATCCTATGGCTGTTTTAGGTTAAGTAAGTTCAGCTGCAGGAAATTTTTATATGAACTGAACCTGTTTAATGCTGAACGTACATGATTGTTGAAAAGTGTATAAGAGTTAGTTTGAACGAGGTGCAAATCTTTTTAAAGTTACTTTGTCCTAGTCACACTTTCAAATCTTTCATTGCTTCAGCCTTGTCATCAACCTTTCTCGCTTTTTCTCTGATCTCTGGAGCTAATCGGTCGAGTTCAGCCTGAAGGTTACTGATCACAGTTTTGTGTTTTTCATACTCACCATTGATGACTAAGACTTGTTTTGTGGCATCTATTACCGCGTTTAATGCACCCATGGTGGTCCCATAGTGAAGACCCTTTTCCACTAAACCTTTTGTATTGGTCAAATGTCCTGCAACATATCCACCAACTAAAAAGCCCCAAAAGAAATAATAATAGAAAAAGCAAATAAGAAATGCCATAAAGCTAACAGTCTTTTTTTTTTTTACAAATTATATACCAATCAGATCGATCGAATAGGAGTGTATCAACCGATCTGAACAACGCCGAAATCGATTACTTACTTAATAGATCTTTTAGAAAAGACCAGAACACAGTAGTGTTAAGTGAAAATCGCGACAAAAGATGCCAGTAATAACGAAAACTAAGAGAGATCTTTGCTTTCGAAATTACGAAAGCTAAGACCCCTAAATTTACAAGTTTGGGGGGCTTATATTTGGAGGGGCTTATTTTCGGAATTTTACCGTATATTACCAGGTTTATAAGTTGATCGAATGACGATTTGCTCGATCAGTACAGTATAAAAACAAAGGCGATGCGCGGTATCAACTGTAAAATTAACGACAATCAACAATCAAGGTCACAAACAACTCCTCTGCTTCCCGTGGATGATATGCACGCAATGTGTCCTCGTAAAATCAAAGGCTCCTAGGAGCGAGCTCATGGATGAATTGAATTGTAAACGAGCATGGGTGCTAAGTGCCACTACTCTTGAATTTCGTCATTGAGTTTCGTTATTATTGACAACCGAATGTTGAAGATTATCACCTCTGTATTTATAGTAACTAGAAGGCTTGAGAAATGATTCCGTTTTGAAATTCATTTATTTTAAACTGCTTGGGCATTGTAACATTTTCACTTTTCTTCTTAGTTTTTTTAATATTTCATGACTTTCTGTCTGTGTCGGTTACTTGATAGATCATGTTTACATTTCTTTAGCATTTGATTTTTCGCATGTGTTTTTTGGCATACGGTATTTAGCATTTGGTTTTTGGCATACAGTGTCGGTTTTAAAAAGCATTTCTTCAGCATTTCTTCGGTAACTTTTTGGCATCTCTATAGCACTCGAAGCTGTACATGTTCTGTTCGGAATTCAAACCCGACACAGTCAAAGTATCCGTTTGCATGTGTACCTGAATATTCTCGAAACCTGTTATCACCGCAGCATTTCTACTTAACGCTTTTTAATTGTAAAATAATTTGCTTTCTCATGTGAACGTCAACGTTCAAGCTTCGATAGCTTTTATCGCATCTACCCCATATCAAGTAATATCAGGAACAAACGTGCACAATTCGTCCAAGTATACAACAGTGATCCAAATATACAACAGTGATCCACGCTCAATTATTAAACGATTCTTGAGGTCCATTTCTTGCAGATGATATTGTCAGTGTTCTTTAGAATATTTCCATTAATACAAAGTCCATCCTCGGCTGGTTACTCTTTTGTGTCGGTAAAAATGTACGCCTTACTAGTTCCCTCTAGAATATGCCAAACATATGCGTAAAAGGCACTTGGAACAAAAGTAATACTAAGTAAGGGAGGTAAGAGTAAAGTGTTTAATTTGACTTTAACGAATAAATTAATGAGAATCGAGTGAGTGAGTGAGTGAGTGAGTGAGTGAGTGAGTGATCGGGTGCCATTCGAGTGCCTCCAAAAGCCCATGGCATGACTACGTCATCCATGAGCTAAAAATAAGGATAATTTGGGTTTCATTACATTTTTTATCACCTGACCGTGGATTTGTTATACAAACAGGGATTTTTCTTACGTTAGCTAGCTAGTTTTGCTGTTAAGATCATTTTGTTGTCCATTTCAAAATTTTTTGTGTTGCTTTTCCGGGCTATCTGAATGATAACTTTACCAATAAAATTTGTTTTTTGTTTTTGTCTCTTCATGGCACAGAAGCAGCTAAAGCTGATCTTCCAAAACCGGCTGACAATAAAAAAAGCTATATTACCTACGCCAATCATTGCACCAGCAGCTGCCCCCGCTGTTAAACCTGTTCCTACAGTTACAACTCCTTCCTTTACTGTGTATTGTAAGTTGTCCCACCAAAGAGAATCCAGCTTCTCCTCTGTTTCATTTTGATAATCAACAGCTGTTTCCAAATCGCTTTTGAGATCTCGCATCAACATTTTCAACTCAAAATTTTCTTCCTCAGTTAGATTGTATCCTCGGGGCTTGGATTCTTTGATCTGTTTTGTTCATAAAGGAATGGGAAGAAGGTCAGTGAGGCTAAAATTCATGGAACCTGTTAAAACTGCCGGGTGACAAATATAGCAAGCAGTATCCCTAATGGCTAAGATTAATTCAAAATGCATTTAAAAGCAACGCCTCTGATATTTTCGTTATTTTAGTCCCTAGCTGTTACGAGTCCCTAGCTGCTTCTATGTCTCGCCATAGAAAAATAGAAAACACCACCAAGTATGACACTGTACCCAATAAGTCTCATTTTTTCTTATTATAAGTAAAAATTTACTTGCCATTTTCGTCATTTCTGTCATGGTGGCCTGAATTTCTTTGAGTTTTTCCCTGATCTTATGCAAATGATCTCTTATCACCCTAGCCTTGGGCTGCAGACTCGAGGGAAGTTGAGACTCCAACGGGTCTATTTCTTGTACTGTTTTTGAAACAGCCGCAACAAAACATAGTTGCGGGATGAAGCCTTTGAAAAGCACAAGGATGCATGCATCTTCTATAATCGGATCTTCCAACTGGTTTTCTTGAACATCTCGGAAAACCTTCTTCATGTCCTTCAAGGCGTCAAGTGACTCTTTCGCATTTTCAGTTAATTCGCCAACGTCTTTAATAAAGTTCATTGCAGTCTCTAAGAGTTTTTCAAATTCCATTGACATGATCTCTTGATATAGGTATTGAAGCCTGCAAGAAAGTATTAAGCCATATTTATTATAAAGTTTCAGGGTATATTTCTTCAATAAAAATACTTAGTACCTAGTTTTATAAGGAATAAAAGATCAGAGAAAAAGGATGCATAGAAGTTAACATTGTTTGAATTATAATAACGGGATGAGTAGTAATAACTTAATAATTATATAATTTCGTCATGTCTAGTTTCCGCCGTTCATCGTCGGGTACGTGGGCATATGCTGTAAACCCAAACACCCTCAAATGTGGCACCTATGGCTTCGTTCCATACCACCGCTCATAGGGAGTTTCTTCTCCTTTAAGTGCTGTTGTTGGAAAGTCGATTTCTAACATAAGCAGCTGTAGAGATAACTTTGACCGAAAACAGTGGGCGCGAGGTTTAGAAAAAAAGAATTCCCATATGTAGTAAATGACCATCAGTGTTACAACCGTTTTGTCTCTCGGCGGTGACTGGGCGCTTGCGTCAAATATTAGGGAACTTAAGATGGAGACGTTTTCGGGGCGACGGCGACCGAACTGGCAGAGAAAGCCTGGAACTGAGGCAGCCGTCGCTTCCCGTCAGCCCTTAATTAGAAGAATACCGAAGAGGAAAATATGGCTTCACATAAAGAATTACGAGAATAAATATTTGATATGCAGACAAAATGTATCGGATGAAGAGTTTCTCGTTTTGGGGGAAAATTATGAGTCCAAAAATCCCGATTTTCCTCGGGACAGTTACGATTCGTTCACGCTAAGAAACATGCGCGATGAAAAAAAAATGATCTCCACAGGCTTGCCGAAGCCTTGCAAATTCCAGGAACATTAAAATGCTACCAAGGAATCGTATTCTTAGTTTGGTATTGAAATAATTCCCGGGAAATACTTGCATGCAACAACAAAACAACTGCAACAACTTTATTTCAGTATTCCCACGTTTATATTTGGTACATGGTATTACCTACTATTCCATATAATTTTCAATGCGTTTCATTTATACGATATTCTAACGAAAAGAGCGAACTAAAAACACACAATTAACATATCGGAGTTCATATTTTTTGTCTGGATACTTTTATTTGGCTCGTAGGACAATTTTGTCCATGTCAAGCCCACTTACGGTTGGCTGTTTGCCAAGTTGGATCTTGACCCTGTGACATGAAAACACAGAAACATTCAAAGATGTAAGTTTAGATAACAGAGCTTGGAAATCGAGCTTGAAATGTGCCTCAAAGAAAACAAGGACAATTTAAGAACGGTAATCTGCAAAATTTTGGTTGCTAAACGCAACAAACCTGATTGAAATGAACGTTAAATACTCACGTTTTCGCCACAACGCCAAACAGCCCAGTTTCACGTCGCCGACGGGGACCACGACGGCTTACGACGGCAAGGTGGTGAGCAGGAGCATGCGCAATATCCAACAAATGATGATGTCACGTCCGGTTGAAGTTGCCGTCGCCCCGAAAACGTCTCTATCTTAAGTTCCCTATTAATGCACCGGGAGATGGTGACATTTCTTCGCTAGGACAAATATCTACCCTCCCACCTCCCAACAAGGAAGAAAATTAAAAAAAAAATTCACGTTTGCTGTTTGAAAACTTGGAGTGCGCGAAATTTTTTTTAAATTTTTGAAGGTTTCCTCAAGTGCCTCGTTCATTGGCCGACTAAAAACAAATTTGTCTTAACAAAGAAATGTCACCCTCTCCCGGTAAGTTATTATTTGACGCTAGCGCCCAGTCACCACCGAGCGACAAAACTTTTACTAGACACAGATGAATAGCGCCCATTTTTGAACTGTAGTTGATCTTTTCGATCGAGTCATGCCATCCAGGCGCAAAGTTTACCGGAACGAATTGCAGAAAGATGATAGTAAGGTACAACATTGTGGATTCGGCGGTGCAAAATATAAGTGTTTGTTTTTTTTTTTTGCTTGAAATTTGGAGCTGATTCTGAGCAGCTCTGAAGGTCGATCGAGCGATTCTGTCCTACCTTATCTCTTATTATTATTACACTCTCCGATCAGATGATGTAAAAGTACTCAAATCGCGCTGAAACTTCGTAAAAACAAAGACGACACCATGTAACAATATTTACACTTTATTGATAACTTTTATCACTTTTAGTTCATGTATTTCGTCTAAGTTTCATTTCACATACTAGTTTGGGTCCCAGGCTAGATGTATCACTCTTTTACGAAGTGAGCTATTTCGAATGCCCTCCGTTCTCGGTCGACAAGTTTGAATCAGATTTGTATCTCGTTAAGTTAACTACTCTTCGGAGGGGGAGGGGGTTGTTGCCGCTGTCGCTTGTAATTTCTACTTATTATTTATCGCATGCGCAATATCGTAACTGTCCCGAGAGGTTGTGTAAGTGAGAAATTGAGTTTTAGTAAGAGGCGATGGCCGAGAAAAGGTCTGGCATAGCTTTTTTGGGAAACCCAAGCTAAGGGTTTTATGATTTACAGACATCTGTTGAAAAAGATTATTTTAAATAAAGTTCCCTAAGAACTGTTGAACGCTTCAGCGTGTTTTACTATACGCATCTTACTTCTGAGCCGTTTACATTTATATGAAAAAGTGGAAATGAAAGAACTTGGCTAAAGAACAAAAGACAACGAAAAACAAACCAATAAAAGAACTAAATAAATATTCTACCAAGTGTTTGCGAATATATTGAAGTCAAAAAGCAACCGTCGAATAACTGACGCAACAACAAAAAAAGTGAATAAATAAATGCGGTAAGCTTAACAATAACAACACTCCCACTTTTGACAGTGCTTATTTTGACAGTTCTCAGTCCCAGTCCACTTGTCAGCCTCTCGAATCGATGTTTGGGCAGGGCTTCGTTAGAATATCTGCCAACATCTCATCAGTGGCAACGTATTTCAAAACGATTGCGCCGTTCTATACTCTTCACGAACAAAGTGATATCGTATGTCGATATGCTTGGACCTGACCTGACCAGCAGGGTCCTTTGCCATTGCAATATCTCCTTAGTTGTCTTCATGAATTACAATCGGTTGTTTTGGAGATTCTCCTACATCTGTGAGTAACTGACGAAACCTGATTGCGTCTTGAGTGGCAGTACTGAGGGCCACATGCTCCGCTTCTGCTGTTGTCAGCGCTACAGTAGCCTGTTTCTTGCTTAACACGCTCACTGCTCCCCCTGCCAGTGAAAACACGTTTCCTGAAGTGGAATGGCGGTCATCCACATCACCTGCCCAATCCGCATCCGAAGGAGTAACCGGACAGATCTCCATTAGCACACTTCTTTTAATTCAAGCCAAGGAATTTAGCCGTCCTTTCAGATATCTAAGGATAACGTTTCGCCGAAGTTAAATGATTTTGTGAACGGTTAGAACAGAACTTCGTCACAACTCCCATTGCCTGGGCTATGTCTGGGCCTGTTGCAATTGTGGCGTAAAGTAGGCTTCCAACGATAGGTTGGTATCCGGTCGGGTCAACGGGTCTACTCACAGCATCATCCTTTTGTAGCCTGACGTTTAAATCAGCGGATGTAGACAGTGGTTTGGCTTCACTTAACCCGGACTTCTTAAGTAACTTTGCGAAGTACTGTTCTTAATGTAGGTAGACTTGCCTGTTTTCCTTGTCCTGGCCGACAGATACTCCCACGTAAAAATGCAGTTCCCCCATGTCCTTCATCTTGAACTGCAACTTTCGGCTGTCCTTGATTTTTCTCATCTCCAGACAATTTTCTGCCAGTATCATCATGTCATCAACATGGAATGTAATGATTAGAAATGCATCATTCTTTTGGATGAACACACAGGGATCTGCTGTGGCCTGGGTGCAACCAATCTTTTTAAGATATTTTTGTAGTGCTTTGTTCCAGCATCTGGGGGACTTCTTTTTTTTTTTTCCTTTTTTTTTTGCACAAGCACTACTACATCTATACCAATAAATTAAATACTACTACAAGTACACAAAATACACTTCCTATACTATACATAAATAATGGCTGACACAAAGACTCTTAGGTACAATTACTACTATAAAATAGGATATAAGTTTTTTTTTGCATTCTAATTCTCACTACCACGGCAGAATAGCTGAAACTTTTCCCATTTACTTTCCTGATCAGCAACTTTGTTATTTGAATTCATAAGTTTCTTTTCTAACTGATAACATAACTGACTTTATTTAAAAAAACTGTAAAGGAAGGATGAATACATTTGTTACGACATTCATAAATACCAGTATGTTGCTTAGCTAAGACTAACATGTGATTGATAAACAAGTAGTCTTCTTTCCTTTGCCAAAAACCAAAAAGTATATCGCTGTCTGAAAGGTCTCTTAAGGATATGTTT